ACGATTGTTTTAGTGCCCCTCCACTGGAGACGCAGAAGCCTAGAAGTCCCTGGATTTCTAGCACCGTCCTTAAAAAGCCCAAGGGTAGACGTGGAAGAACGCTCCAGTGGATCGTGGTTGTGAGTGGTGGAATGAATGCAGGTGACAGCAAAGGTTCAGTCCTGAAGAAGGTGTACTGTGGGTGTGGGAGAGAAAGGCTGCGGGGCTTTAACCTCTGCAAAAGCACATTTCCCACCTCTTCCTTTCCCGGAGCAACTGTGTAAGGTGTGTAGGATTCATATGCTTTCTGCATTTTACAGACAAGAATGGAAGGGGGAATTGAACGATTAGCCCGGGGGCACCTCACTACGTGTTGACAGAGTCAGGACAGAGCTCAGAACCCAGGACGCTAGAGCCGGGTCGGGCCCTGACTCCTGAGAGGGCACTAACTGTGCGTCCCTCCCACCCTAGGCTCAGATCCAGAACCTGACCGTGCTGACCCCCGAGGGCGAGGCAGGGCTGAGCTGGCCCATCGGGCTCCCGGCCCCTTTCACACCACACTCTCGATTTGAGGTGCTGGGCTGGGACTACTTCACAGAGCAGCATACCTTCTCCTGTGCAGACGGGTCCCCCAAGTGCCCACTGCAGGGGGCCAGCAGGGCCGATGTGGGTGACGCAGTGGCGACTGCTTTGGAGCAGCTAAATCGGCGCTACCAGCCCCGCCTGCGCTTTCTGAAGCAGCGGCTGCTCAACGGCTATCGGCGCTTCGACCCGGCGCGGGGCATGGAGTACACCCTGGACCTCCTGCTGGAAGCCGTGACGCAGCGCGGGCACCGGCGGGCCCTGGCACGAAGGGTCAGCCTGCTGCGGCCACTGAGCCGGGTGGAGATCCTGCCCATGCCCTATGTCACAGAGGCCACCCGCGTGCAGCTCGTGCTGCCGCTCCTGGCGGCCGAAGCCGCCGCGGCCCTGGCTTTCCTGGAGGCCTTTGCGGCCGGTGTCCTGGAGCCACGAGAGCACGCGCTGCTCACCCTGCTGCTGGTCTACGGACCCCGGGAAGGTGGCCGAGGGGCCCCAGAGCCATTCCTTGGGGTGAAGGCGGCAGCGGCCGAGTTAGAGCAACGGTACCCGGGGACCAGGCTGGCCTGGCTCGCGGTGCGCGCAGAGGCCCCTTCGCAGGTGCGGCTCATGGACGTGGTCTCTAAGAAGCACCCCGTGGACACACTCTTCTTCCTCACCACCGTGTGGACCAGGCCCGGGCCCGAAGTCCTCAACCGCTGCCGAATGAACGCCATCTCTGGCTGGCAGGCCTTCTTCCCGGTGCATTTCCAGGAGTTCAACCCTGCCCTGGCACCACAGAGATCTCCCCCAGGGCCCCCGGGAGCCGGCCCTGACCCCCCGTCCCCTCCCGGTGCCGACGCTGCCCGGGGGGCTCCCGTAGGAGGCAGGTTTGACCGACAGGCTTCCGCGGAGGGCTGCTTCTACAACGCCGACTACCTGGCGGCCCGAGCCCGGCTGGCTGGTGAACTGGCAGGCCAGGAAGAGGAGGAAGCCCTGGAGGGGCTGGAGGTGATGGATGTTTTCCTCCGGTTCTCAGGGCTCCACCTCTTCCGGGCCGTGGAGCCAGGGCTGGTGCAGAAGTTCTCCCTGCGGGACTGTAGCCCACGGCTCAGCGAGGAGCTCTACCACCGCTGCCGCCTCAGCAACCTGGAGGGGCTGGGGGGCCGGGCCCAGCTCGCAGTGGCGCTGTTTGAGCCGGAGCAGGCCAACAGCACCTAGCATGGCCCGGGGCCCTGCCCCTCCGTGCAGTTCCCCTCTCGGCCGCAGCCCCGGGAAGGGCAAGGCAAAACGGATGGACAGATGGAGAGCTTGTGGCTGTATTTTTTTTAATAAGAAAAATGTTATTAAAAGTGTCTTCTGCCAAACTGTTTTTAGGTCTAGGGAAAATGGAGTAAAGAGAAGACTCTGAGGGAGGGGGTGGGGAATCTTCCCAGAGGGACCCACCGCCTTCCCCTTGTCCTTCCTCCCCAGTTGCCAATGACACACAAGGCTGCTCTCAGATGCATGACCTTTAATCATTCCCCTGCCTCACCCAGAAGGTGTCAGGGGAGTGATGGCAGAGCCCCCGGGGGGCCAGGGCCCCGGGCCCGGAGGCCCACAGTGGTGCTCATTCACGGGGGCTCCTAGGTGTTGCGCACAACCAGCGACTGCTCCAGCTCCTGCCTGCGCTGCTGGATCTTGAGGGAAATAAGAGCAGTAGCAGGGTTATGCTGTTGCTGGTGAGTGACAGGCCAGTCCCCACCACCCATCCACCCTGGGAGAGCATCTGGGGGCAGGGAGGGCTCCTCCGCGGTGAGGGGGTTGGTGGAGCAGCAAGGGCCGCTGACGGGGCTCGGAAGGGAGGCTTCTCTGGGAGTGACGGGGGGGAGGCCTGAGGTACACGGGCCCCTCCACACCTTGCAGTAGAAATAGCGGCTGACGGCTTCCTGGGACCAGGGCTGGTGGTAGAACTCAGCCCGGCGCTCCTCCTCAGGGTTGCCTGCCACATCTGTCATCACCTGGGAGGGAGCAGCGGGGTCAGCCCTGAGCCCGGACCCCCTCCAGCCCTTGTGTAACCACCTTTACTGTCTTCCCAATATGCTTCTCTTCCATCCAGTGCTCCCTGAGTCCCCTTCACCTTGAGGTCCCGGCTCTGGGAGCGGAGCAGGTCTTGGATGTAGCCTTTGGGGTCTCTGGAGAAGCTTAGCATGAAGTCCCTCTGGATCTTGAGCTGGTTTATGGACTCAATCGTCTCATGGATCTACAGGTAGAAAGAAAGACGCTTTCACCTGGCCATGGTGATGTGGGAGAGAAGGGGAAGGAGGAGAGGGGCCAGCGGGGGGAGGGCTTTGCTGCTGTTCCTTTGAAGGGCAATCCCTGGGGTCCGGGCCTGGGGAAGGGGGGATGGGCAGAGCTCTAAGTAGCAAGGGAAGGGCCACCTGCCCCCTTCATCTCTCCACAGGCCTGTGCTCTCGTCTCTTGTCTGTATTTTGTCATTTCGGGGTTAATGTCCCACTCCAGCTCTGGGCTCTGGCCCCACCTTACTGTCCAGAGCGCTGATCTCCTGCTGGTTGGCCGTGGACAGGAGGAAGCTGCTCATCTGTCCCTTCAGTGGCTCCTCTACCTCCACGTCAATATCATAGCACGCCGTCTTCTTCTGGTCCGACGGGTCCACGCTGCCAGGGAAGTCCAGCCCTTGGTATCCGCGCTGCTCCCACAGAGGCCAGAGGGTCCCAGGGGCAGATGCGGGGGTGGGGGGTGGGGGGGAGCGGGGGTAGGAGGAAGAGGGAGGGCGGGACTGCAATGATTCCCTGGTCTGAGGAGCAAGCTGGGGCCTCACCTGATAACGTGGTTGATGACAATAGGGTCAGGGGGCAATAGCAGAGCTGTGAGGCGCTGGGGAATCTCAGAAAACTTCAGCCGCGGGCAATCAAAAATCTGAAGCAGGAGAGAAAGAGACCAATCTCATCTGCTTGAAAAGAGTGTAACTACAGTCCTAGATCCTTCCATTCTGGAACAGCCACAAGACGCCAAGAGCAAGTCTAACTCCAGTGCTGCTGGGGCAGGGACGAGGGTGTCAGTGGGTGGTGGAGTGAGGACAAGGGCGTTGGTTGGTGCAGTGCAGTGGTTGAAAGCACCGGCCCTGGGTCTGTGGCCGCCGAGGTGCAAATCCTGCCTCTTCCATTGACACCACAACCTCGGGCCAGTCCCCTGAGCTCTCAGGCCTCGGTTTCTTCATGTCCAGAGTGGGGATGGTAACTACCAGGGTGGTTGGGAAAACTAAGTGGATGAGGCCACACTGCCTGCAACAGTGCCTGGCACACGACAAGTGCTCAATAAACATCCACCGCTATTTTACTCCTCAGGTTTATCTGCCGTGTTTATTTAAACAGCTTTACGAATGCTAATCTCTACTTTGGTAGAGTCTGGATGCAGGACTAGAACCCAGGGATCCTAACTCCCAAGTGCCAAGAATATTACGTTCCCCAAACTGTTGGCCTTTTAAGGTTCCAGATCTTTCTAAACTGGCTTGGCTCAAGGGGATGGGCTGCGGCGCGGAGCTACGCCACGGTTGGGCCTGCACTAGGACCCTGCTTACCTTTTGTGATACCCAGGAATCTAGATGTGGGGGAGGGGGTGTTGCCGTTAGTCGAGGCACCTCCCCTATTGGGACCTCTGCCTGCCCCCCACATCCCTGAGATCAGGGGAGAGGGTACCTGCTGGAAGTATTTGTCCCCATTGATGTATTCCTTGTCATGCGAGTCCTGCAGCCTGTTGGTCTTCACATACTGCCAGAGGGCCTGCACGATGGCTGAGCGGCTCTGTGTGTGCAATCCCAGCAGCCGAGCCAGGCGGGGATCCAGTTTGAATTGGGGAGGCTGGGAAAAGATGGCCGCGAAAATAAAAGCGAGGGAGTGGGAAGAGCTCAGGGCCAGGCAGCTTGGGACTGGGGGACGTGATGACTGGGCTCCTGGGAAACATGCTTCTGGAGAAGGTGAGGTTGGGAAGAGCATGGGGTCCCTCGGGGTGCGCTCCCTTGAAGCCAAGGCCTGCCCTAAGAGCCAGGGTGTGGGGGGAGGGGCACGGACCTGGTAGTCCAGCATGAGGAGCAGTGTGCAGCGTACACTCAGGTCCCCCGGCCTCTTCACCTGGAACCCATCCGTCTCCTGGGTGGTGGGTGTCCGGTGCCACTGCCCAGGGGGAGGAGAGCTGGGTCACCTCACAGGCCCATCTGGGCTGCTGGGCCCAGGGGCACTCGGGTGGTCCCTGCTCCAGATCCGTGTGGCTGAGGGGATGCTGGTCCCTGGAAGGGTGGCTGTTCCCGGGCAGAAGAGGTCTGGGTCTTACCTCAACTAGGTGGTTGTCGGGGCCATAAAGGTCTTTGTCCAGCTCAATGACCAAACTCTTGAAGAAGGAAGAGAACTTCCGCTTCTGCTTGCTGGGCTGTGGTGATAAAGTTTTTTTTTTACCGTGGGGGCAGGATGGGTCGGGGGTCGGGGGGGTGGGGCCGGTTGGGCGGGGGCAGCACGGTTAGAAGCAGGCCTCCGCACCTGGGCTGTCTCTTCAGGCCGCCCACCCCCGGCTGGGGCTGACTCCCTAACCCATGGTGCAAACACCTCGTTCCGTCCTCAGCCCAGCCCCATACCCACCCCAGGACACCTGGAGAGACCTGGGCCAGGACGTACGTCATCCAGGAGCTTCCCCTCCACCCGCAGCTCCCAGGAGGCAATGCTGCCATCAGAATCTTCAGCATCGGGCTTCGCAGGGTTAAAAGTATTGGAGATATAAAGACGCAGCTTCCGCTTTTGCTGTAGAAATAAAGAGTGTAGTACCGAGCCAACGCTGTGCGCTCCCATTCCCGGGGCAATCCCACTCCTCCATTCTTGGAACAGGGCCGAGAGCCCTCTTCCTGCCCCCAGATCAAGACACCTTCATTGGCCTCTTTAGAGCCTCCTGGATGTCCACCCGCTTCCGCATGATGGTTTGATCCAGTTTCCTCTCAAATGCCAGGAGGTCCATATAAGCCTGGGACTCGGGGACCAGCTCCCGGATCTGGAACAGAAGGAGCAAGACAGGGAACCAGGGGCTCAGCCAGTCTTGTAGGTGGAATGTGCGTGTCTTACGGTCCCCGGGTACAAAGGGTGTAGAGGGGAGCTGGCCAGGCTCTAGGCACGCAACTTCGGGAGTGCAAAGGGGGACTTCTCCCCAGGACTGCGTATCCAGCAGAAAGGACCTCGACGTGTAGGGACACACGCGGCTTCTCCCTCAATGGAGAAGCATTTCATCACTAGGGGTGGCTGCAGCAGCCACGGAGCCCAGCAACTAGGGCTTCACCTCCTCATCTTGTCCTTGCCCTTGTCACATGGCCTCTGGACCTTCCTGGGGTGTCTGCAAAGTGCCTGGGACCCTGGCGTGCCTGAGACAGAGGGTGTCGCTGCTTGCCTCTACCCTGCCACCCCACCTCGTCGCTCCACCTGATGTCTCAGCTGTACCACCCCCCACGCCTAGCTTGGCCTGGGTTCACTCATGACATCCAGGCCTTCTGGCCAGCCTCAGTTCCCTTCACTCCCCCTGCCAGCCTTTGGTCCCCTAGCTCTTGTGCCCCCTTTGTCCCGCACCTGTATTTATGTCTGCAGACTGCTGGAGCTCAGTCCACTGCACCCGGGGCCCAGTACCCTACCTCTTCCGGCTCTGCTCCTTCCCTCTGCCCCACCCCCTCCCTCTGGCCGGGGAGCCCCACTTCTTAATTAGCTTTTTAAACAAAAAGTGAAAGTGGCTGTGACGCTGAAGCTCTGCTCCTAAGGGGGGAGGGGAAGCAGCCCCGGGGGGGGGGGGGGGGGGGGAGGAGGCAGAGCAGCGAAGGGTTGAGGGTGGGCTGGGGGCTGCTGTGAAAGGCACTCACCCTTTGAGGGAGGATTTTGTCAGCCATCTTCCTCCTCTTGGCACTGTACATTTTTTAAAGAAAAAACCAGGTTACCATGGCGACAGATCTGGGAGTAACGAGGCCACCTGCTAAATTATCCCGACATCTCCACCCGCCTGGCTGGGGTTCCCACAGCCCGCTTGTCTGCCCGCCCAAGGGGCTACGGCAGTGGTGTCTGGCATGGCACTACGTCCTCTCGTGGGGAGCAGATGTGGCCCCGGTCCTTTCTCTAGCCCGGGAGCCCCTTTCCACCCCCACCATATCCTCAGGCCAGAGAAATTTAGACTTGGGGGGGTGAGGAAGCTGCAAAAGTGTTTGAGAAAAGCTAGGGAGGGGGAGGACAGAGGAGAGGGAGGAGGGATTCTGAGGACTTTCCCTTTCTGTTAAGCAGGGGTGCACAGCCCAAGGTGGCCTAAGCTCAGAGGGAGGGGAGCCGTGTCGTGTCGGACACCCTCTCCCATC